CTTAATTTTGCCAAACAATAATTTCTGTTGAAAGTAGAGGAAATAGTGAAGCTTTTGTAATGCGGCTAACAGATTTTCTGACTTTCACTTAGTCATCTTTTTCATCTCATTCATCTATTTCTGACACCAGGATATTAACCCGTAATCTTCCATTGGAAATTGAATACCTGTAACTTCATTAATAGTTGTCCAAAATGTACGATTTTTATATAGTTTTGTAGGGAATTTCATTTCATGGGAGGAAAACAGGCTAAACGGTGTTTTTTTCGTGTATATAATATACACTTAGCGAGAGGACTCAGGGAACTCTGAAAAGTTTAGATCCGTCGAAAACCGCATATAGGAACTTTGATCCGATTGAAATACTTCTCTTACCTAGTATAAGAAGGAAAGTAATAAATTAAAACATGTGTAGAAAATACAATAAAATGTATCATCGTTAATACTACTGGTTCCATTCCGACGATTTTTTTGTTCGTTTAGTTGGTAATTTAATTACCTTTCAAAAATTATATTATAAATTTTACCGTATAATATACACTTAGCGAGTTAGGCCCCAAAATATTTTTCTTTTCTTTATAACTTCCTTTCCTCAAATTTCTCGGGAATTTAGTTCATATACGAAAATTTAAAGCACAATTATTAGAACATTATAGGAAAGTTTAATCAAAATCGTTAAATCCGTTTTCACACTACAGTATATAGAAAAACATAGAAAAACGACAACAAGCAATTGCGCATTCAGTCACAAGCATCAGTAGTCAAAACCTATCAAAATAAAAAAGACGCAACAAAATCGATTCAGTAGTTCAAGAGAAAATGTTGGCACAGACAGACAGACGAATAGCTAAATATGTGTTTTTCGGACTCAGGGAGCTCAGAAACGTATAGATCCGTCGAAAACCGCATATCAGAAATTTGGCCCGATCGCAATAACTTCTTTACCTACTATTGGTAGGAAAGTAAAAATCATAAAAAAACTTAATGAAGTCATTAATAACTAAATACCCTAATAATGACTCACTCGTTAGGACCGAGAAAACTCGACTATATTGTTCTGTTTTAACTAGTTTGCAGAAATTAAAAAATCCTCATATATTCTTGTTTTAGTTAAAACATTTAGTAGTTATACATTTCAACTAAAGTGAATAATTATATAACTGAAGGATAATTTCTTGTGGTGTATAACGTAACTAACCGCCAATGTGCAGTATAGCAAATTAATTTGAAATAAATTCTCATCGTGAAATGGATAATACTCTCACATTATTTAAGCATTATTCAATATTTTTTTGTTTTTTACGTGAAATCAACAGTTTGTCAGTTGTAAATAAAATCATAAATAAGGAAAATAAATAATGAGATATTAGGGAACTTATTCAGTGTGTTAATATCCGCCCTATAGCCCTATGCGTGATGTTATCCTGAAAATGCTCCTCTGGCATCTGGCATCCTGATACTCCGGCAGGGGTGGCATTCGTCGACCCTTTTTTCCCACATTCCACAGTTCTTCACCCTCCCATCTCCTCCCCCTCACACCATGGGGCAATGGCGGCTAAACTTTTTAAATATCTAAGTGCCATTTTTGACAATTAAATTAATTATTCTTGGAGCCGAATTGACACACAATGCTGGAACATGCGAAAAACATAAATTGTGATTGTTTTTCATAGTAAAAAAAAGTAAAGCGTGCTTCGTAAAAAAAAAATTCAATGTTTTACGCTAAATATTCTTCTTTAAATACAAAACAATTTAGTCATTTCAACCTTCGAGTTTAAATTCCTAAATCCAAAACAATTCCTATCCTCTGAAATGAATATGCCTAACTTCATGCCTGACTCATTTTAATTCATTGCATACAAGTAAAAGAGCTATCCTTAAAGAGCTCAACTAAAACACATAAAATATATATACTTGATACATTACAATTTGCAAATTTGAGTGGTTGAAACTGGTTTTTGTGGTTTTTATTTATAAATAAATTGGTTTTTATTTATAAATAGATGAAATTGACTGGAATCGTACATAATTACGTAGTACATAAAACTAATATCAGGTTTAGGGACTGCATGATCTACCAGATTTAGCAAGTAATTAATTTCGTTTGGATTAACAAATGTGAATTTTTCAACCAAACCCCAGAGATAGAGTAGTAAAATAGAATATGTAACTTTGCTAATTTAGAACCTTGAATCATGTTCAGAAATGAAATACATTGTATTAAATATATTGTATAAAAGAATGTGTATATTTATGTTGTTATTTTAGTTTAAGGTTTTTTAGATTAGTTTAGTTTCATTTTGTTTATATAGATTAACTGTTACTATTATTATTTTGTTTTTTTAATTACTGTACATTGAGTCTGAATGAGCTACTATACCACTACTGCTAATGTTCGTAAATGTGGCAGAATGTAGTATTGTAAAAAAAAAATGTTAATTAAGATATTTTTTTTATTTATTGAAATTACAACAATCTGTCACTTAAACATTAGTTATAGTGAGATATAATAACATTTGCACTACATGTACACAAAATATAAAATAAACAGAAGCAAAATAACAATAAATAATGATCAAAAAGTATATACAATAAATAAAATAAAATGACCTAAAAATAATAAAATTAAAACTAAGCAAAAAACACATGCATACCTATATACACTCAGGCGAGGGAACTCGGAAGAAGTTATTTCCCAACTATCGAGGGAAAAGCTGGACTCGAGGAGAACCTGCGCTACTCTCTCAACCCCATCACTGGTACTAAAGCCAGCGGAGATAGATTGAGAGCACTTTAACCACATACACTCATGTCTTGAGTGGAGAATCTGGCCATTGCCAGAACTCCAATATATGCAATCTATAAAAAGTCGCAAGGCCACTGCCGTTTCAACCTTCTTGGAGGATTATAGGGATAGCACCCAGCTTGATAGGGATTGTGCAAGAACATTTGGATGATACGTAAGGTTCTAGTGAAATTTAGAGAATTATTCTGGGATAAGGTCTAGGACGAGGATATCAAGGCCATGGTGTATTGGCTACATAGAGTATGGTCGTATGTTTAAGAAAAAGACAAGGTATCAGATTGTATCTGCGAAAGGAAGCTGGATGTTGTTAAAATAAACTGGTGGACAGGATTTACACAAAGAGTGAAGATTATGTGTTTACATTTGGATTCCTTTATCTTAATGCACCATTTCTTCCACCAGTGTTCAATCAGGGAGAGGTGCATTTGTAGGTTTAATGACGCTGTTTTAGGATCTGAGTTGGTTGAAAGGATAGCGGTATCATCAGCGAATTTTGCCAGGAGGATATCAGGATGGATGGAAATATCTGCGGTGAAAAGAATGTAAAACATGGGACCTAAGACCCTCTGGAACTCCCGTCTCAATTAACAGTCGGACAATTGACAAATGGCAGTCGGAGAAGGCGGAGTTGCCGAACGGGCTAACGTGTGTCCACAGCACCGTCGTTGCCTGGCAACCTGATATATGATAAAATATAGTCACGAGTTCACGTCCAGGTGCCGGGGCGTCTTTTAAATCTCCGCCCACGCTCCCTGGCTCGAGAAAACCCGGTATAGCCTTAGAGGCGAGGAAGGGAAGGGCCCAATAAAAATGGGAGTCGGAGAATTCGGTACCACAGCGAACTTGAAAGGAGGGGTCAGAGAGGTAGGGTTGGAGTATTAGATATAAGGACTATGGTAAATAAAGTTCAAGCTTGAAGGGCAGTCCTGATTGCCATAGCCGGTCAAAAGCTTGTGCTTTGTCCAGAAATACACTCGAACAATATTGCTTCTTTTCTAGGGCTGAGGACATATGATCGACAGTGGAGTGTTGGGAACGAAATACGAATTGATGGCTAGGAATTTTACGGGATTCTATTATGGTAGGATTATTTTCAGTAGGATCTTTTCAAAAATTTTTGATAGGATTGGGAGTAGGCTAATGGGTCTATAGGATGATGTATTGTTGGCAGGTTTGTCTGGTTTGTCTGGAAAAGGATGATGGTGGAATGCTTTCAAAGGAGAGGAAAGTGCGTAGTTCTTAGGATGACATTAAAAATATATGTAAGAAATATGATAGCTTTAGGTGGAAGTTTCCAAAGGATCTGTAGGGTTAGGAGGTCGTATCTAGGAAATTTACGAGGAATGATATTGCTTAAAAGTATTTGACCTCAGATGGATTAACTGCTTTAGGTGGTAAGGAGAGCGGAATCGATGAAGAGTGAAATTCTTCTAATTTTGCGGTATGAGTTGGATGGAAGTGAATGTACTGGAGAGGTGTCTGACTCCTTCTAATTCCTCAGCTTTGTCTTTATCAGACACTTCCAAGGAGTCATCGCATCTCAAGGTGGTCAGAAATATAATAGACTTTTGGGATTTTTTTGGTGGTTTTTCAGAGGGAATTGTCGTGAACAGAGAGAGAAGCAAGGTAGGTATCAACGTATTGGGATCTAAAGAATTGTAATTCTTGCTTTAATAGTTTACAATAATAATTGTAGAAGCGGCGATCTATGGAGTGTTTGGTACGTTGCCATAATAATCTGGCACTGTGTTTGGTGTGGATTAGGTCTATGAGGTGTTGGAGTAAACTATTTTTCTTATGGGTTCATGAGGAATGATTTGTCCATACTTTCGACTGAATGGTGGAGGTGAAGAAATGTACGGGTTTGCCAAGGTCTTAAGATTAAAACGATTCTCCCCCTTTCTAACACATTCACACAAACACTTTCTCATCCTCGTAATAATCTCATGATAAGTCAGTTACCTGGCATAATCATAAGTAAGTTCCTACCGATTATATCAAGAAAATAATATTGTAAGATAAAGGATTTATTGACAACTACAATATTTTCGACATAAAGTTAATATTTATTGTTAAAGATTAAAAAACAATGTATATGTATATTAATGTACATGGTAATTATTTTTATTTATATATTCGACTACATGTAAGTGGGAATAACCTAATAAAATAAATGAGCCTTCCGTCTTCATATTCAATGTGGTCCAGCCTGCAACAAATATAGATTATATAATCTATTTAAGCGTGAGGTATATAATCCTAACATCTATTAAATAAAAAAATAAGATGAAATAATCATTGAAAATGGATAATTAAAACAAATGGGCCTCGTAGCTCTTATTGCCACTTCCTGGTGTTTAAATATATATTGCTGCCCTATTTTTACCGGGGTGGTAGTGTAAAAATTAATTTCTTAAGGTCGCCGAGAAATCAAAAATTAGCTAACCCAGTTGGGTATTGAATCCACGATTTGGAACAAAGAACTCTATGGCCGTCCCCATTTTCATCTATTACTAAATGTAATCCAGTTAATTATTTAAATATGCTATTGAGGCTGAAGTTATTATTTTCCGAATTAAATTAAATTCGTCAGAGCTGTTTTTGAGAAACTTATAAAAATGTAAACAATTTATAAAAAAAAGTAGGTGATTTTCATAAAAATGTTGCGGTAACATCACAGCAATGAATGTGCCAATGATTTGTTTTTACGTTAGAAGATGACACATTAGGAACGAGGGAGAATATAGGTAATAAACCAGCAGCACCTCTTCCCTGATCTATGTTTACTTTTTTAAATCAGAAAATCTTTCAACCAGCTCCTTTTCAGTCTCCTCCTGATGAGCATTTCATCCGTTGGTAGTCGTTTATAAGTCGTGTTATTATTCGTGTCCGCTTAGTTTAATATGAAATGTAATTGGTAATTACATTTACACCAGCAATGTTGTTAGTAACTGTGTAATTGGTATTTCGTTGAATGTAATAAACAAAAACAAATTAATGGTTGGGAATTATTTTTTTATGCGTAAGTATACCAACCAATCTTTTGTATATTAATTTTTCGATAACTTCGAAGCATATTGCACAGAGACTGATAGATCGGAACGAGGGATTGAAAATGTCTTTGTCAGCAGACATTAAATTATTCTATTAAGGTATCAATTATATTAAAGTTGTTTGATACACATTTTAATTTAACACACATACATATATATGACAAAAATTTACGTTATTCAGGTAATTTTTTAATAAAAAGATAACCTATAACAATTATTCAAGCAAAAAAATGTTTTAAGACCGCCTTACCTTCGCTTTTTTGCATTTTACAAACTCGTAAGCCGCTTCACATTTATCTGCTTTCGCTGAAATATTATTAATATATATTTCAAAATAATATTTCTGATATTTCAGAAAAAGTTGACTTCATATCATGAACATAAACGACATGTATATAAAACATACCTGTAACATCGCATTCATCAATCGCTGCCATCAACTTTGCTTTTAGCACTTCATCTTTCACTATTTCTTCAACAGCCTCTTTATCCTTTTCTTTATCGAAGGATCCATCTGCTTTCAACTAAATAATAGGTTATTATATATTTGTGGTTAAGTAACATTGATTTAATGTAATGTTGTGAGAAAATAATACTTACCACACCATTTTTCTCAAATGAACAGGCCAGTGTACACTGTAATATGGAAGAATTAATTATAATTTGAACTTAAAATTCTTTTATCAATAGAAATAAAATTATAAATTTTAAAATATTCCAATACACAGTTCAGTGTAATAATAATTAAACGAATTAGAGAAATAATTTTTAGAAGTTTTTGAGATATCTTGATAATATTCTGGGACAGTCTACTGACTTAACATATTACTAAATAGAAAATGTTGTAAATGCGGTTGGGACGTTTTTAAAATTTGCTATGGGAGACAAACAAAATTTCAACCAACCCCGTAATTTACAGACTAATTTAATTTAATTATCAATTTTTCGAATCTTTAATTAATTTTACCGGTCCTGATTTAGAATTCGTTCAGTAATTAATTTTGAAACAATATTAAAGAATAATAATGATCAAATATCCTTTCTATTTGTACAATGAATTTATAGAAGTTGTAGAGGAGCATACATTTTAATAACACAGTTGAAAAATTACGTATTTTGAGAGATTAATAACATAAAAATAAAGCCTGATATAAAAAAAAAATGGTCATCTCGCTATCCAAATCTTCATTCCACCATGCCTGTCTGTTTTGTTATTATTATTATGTTATAATTTTTCGATATCAGTATAAGCTTCGATTCAATCTAATCCTACACAAAATGACTCGTAGATGAACGTACTTGTAAAGAAGGAAATCGCATGTGAATATGCTTTTCAACATCCGGTTACTTTTAGTATTCCTTTGACAGTTTGACGGGTAAGAGATATAGTAGAAATACTTCAGAGCAGGATGGATATATTATCATCCAAAGTTCTCTTAATAGAAACAGTACTGGCAACTATGTACTATTGCTAGGATTGTTGATCTTTTTAATCTAATTTTTTGTGCATTAGGCGAATCATAGCACAATATTTAAGTAGCTTATGAATTTTATGAATCCTTATTTATTTAAAAAAATCTGACCTCTTATAATAACCTAAGGAAGATTCATCGTAAAATAAAGAAATCATGTTTGAAATGATTAGGAAAAATGAGAAATTATCACATATTCCTGTTCGAGAAATGTGAATATAGTAAACCAGGAATAATCCAAATCAAAGCCTCAAGACGAAAATAAATTTTAACGCAAATACCTTAGCTTCTTTTGGAAATTCAGGATCGTCGTAATCTGAAAAGTAAAATGAATATTAGACTAAAAAACTTGAATTAAATATTAATTTGAATTTATGAAAAAGTATAAAAAAAGAAATATGTCTTACTAATTTTATCTAAATCGCCATCAAAGTTATGCTCTTTCTTGCAAGCATCACTGATCTCCTTTAATGACATTGACAAAACCTGGAAGTAAAAATCAATACAACTTTATTATATTTAATCAATAAACGATTAATGTTTAAAAAAAAATCTCATTAATTCCACAAATTTGATTTCATTAATATAAAGTCTTGTAAATAAGAAACTTTATATCATCCCTATTATAACGTTTAATCATTTGATGCGATGTAAATGTCTACTTGTAAAACATTACTCGTTTATTAATTAAATATAATAATTATATTATTGCATAAAAGAAGTTTTTTATTTAGTCATTAAAATATATTAAATAATTTAAAACAAACGAATAATTACTTTACACATTAAATTATTCCAATTGTTGTATAATTAGGTATGTTTGTTTTGTTTCTTTGTTTCTTTATTTTTCTTTCATTTATAACCACTATCTCTCCAAAGTATCAGCATCCTGAAGTGCTTGAAATATCCAACATTCAGTTCCATAGACTTTTATCATTTATGGAACTAAAACCGGAACGCTACCAGTGTGGATATTAAAACGAGAGATCGACGATACAACAAATCTTCTGCTCGAGGACTATTCTGGAACAAGGTCACAGGTACGATATCGAAACACTTCACCTCTATTTTGAGTTTATTATGTTGAGTAGATGAACCATGAAGGAGATTTGTGTTATGAAACAAGGGGGCACAGATCGGAAGAATTTACATCAAAGAGAGGACTCATGCTTTCTATCTTCTTGCTCTGGAAAAGGCAGTCTGTGACATTCACATTAAAAGCTCTGACACAATAAGTAAGATGATGGTGCAGCTTCTAGCTTTATCAGACAATGCCTTGTGGAACTGGGAGGCTGCAACGAAGATAAGTGTGATTGTTAATAAAACCTATATTAAATAATAAATATGGTAACCAATTGGATTATATAGCAGGATATTGTCAGGGAATTTCCATTCAGAATTTAGAAATAAGAAAGTGGATTCTGGTTGACACCGGCAATCATGAATTTTGGATTAAGTCAGCACTTGAAACTACTTATTGAAACCATGCTCTTCTGACTGGTTTTAACTTACTGATATGATACCTGTGCAACTTAGACCTTGGCGCAGAGCCTCAAGGAAACGCATGGCAGTAAAAATAAAGTATGGATCAGTGTTATTGGCAACGCAGATAAAAACAGTGACGGTGTGATCCAGAAAAAGCTCTCGACTTTGCATGGACCTAACCTCAGAACACAACGATGTTTTTAAATTCAAAGCTGAAGTGATGAATTGAATGGTGAGAGCGTAAAGAGGAATACTCGACTAAGGTATAACTAATAAGCAGGTTGTAGTGTCATATTAGATAGAGATATATACTTTTTTATTACAAATATAGCTATAATCTTAAGTGCCAGTTTAATATTTAAATATTATAATCGTAAACCAACAACTTCCTGTCCTACAGTTTACTTTAACAATACTCCACTTATCCCTGTTGAGCGAATCCGATACCTAGGATTCCACCTGGACAAACGACTAACTTGGAATCCTCATACTAGACTGAAACGACACGAAACCGCTCGACGTTTCCGATTACTTCAGCACTTACTAGACAAACGTTCTAATCTTCCAATTAATTACAAAAGACTCATATACTTGACTATAATAAGGCCTATTTGGACTTACGGAGTTGAGATATAGGGCTCCACTAAACCATCGAATTCCTGTCGTATCCAATCCTTACAATACAAAATCCTTCGTAAAATCCTCAATGCTCCCTACTTTGTTACAAACAAAACCATCCAAAATGACCTTAATGTTCCTTTTGTTTCAGATCTGGCCCAATCCAGATACCTATCCTTCCATAATATACTTCAGAATCATCCCAACCCTCTCGTTTCTAACCTTGCTTCCTCTTCAATTACTCATAACCCTCCGAGGCGTCTGAAAAGAAGATGGCCCCGTGATCTTCTAATGTAAACATATCATTAGAGTGCTACCATTGGGTAGTTACTCAGCAAGTGTTTTTCATGTCATTATATACATTATGTTCTAATTTACTAGATATATTTATTTAATACAGTTGTAAATGTCTTTAAGAAATAAAATATATATATATATATATATATATATATATATATATATATATATATATATTATATATATATATATATATATATATATATATATATATATATATTAAAAACTTACAGAATGTGCTGTGCAAACTACAGCAAGGAAAATTAAGTATGAACACTGCATGTTTGCAAGAACCTGTGTTGTCGATATGTCTTAATGCCAGTAAAGAATGAATAATGACTGAACAAGCTTTGCATCCAACTATATATACGTATATTTGCCACAATAGTGAGGATGTGAATTGTTCATCCATTGTCAGAGCATAAAACAGTACCTCATTATTATAAAACATAGTCAAAATACAAAAAGCTTAATAGCTTATTCCTTACTAGTGGATCCGGAAATTGCATAATATTTTCGTTATAGATTTAGCTATACAAAAAAAAAAAGATATATAATTTTTTTTAAAAAATTACAGAAGCTAGCCGTGGCTGATTTGTAATAATGAAAATCTGTACCTGATTTTCCTTGTGACCGACTAAGCATTTTCACATAAAAACCAGTTTTGGGAAAAAAAATAGGGATAGAAACATATGATCTATGCAGATTGATGCAGAGGTTTAGGTTTTTAAGAAACGTGGAAAATATGTTAATGACAGTTAGTGAGGCACAGAACAGCTGTACCCTCAAAGATCTAATTTAGTTTATTGGAACTATGGAGAGCTGTCCGATAAAGTAAGAAAAGCTAGAAACCACTCTGTATTAGGTTCGTCATCTAATTTTTCTCACTTTGACTAGTTGGCTATCGTCTAACTCTTTGTACCTTAAACAGAATCTAAACATGTTGTATGTATGACGTTTTGGCTCATTTCTGGTATAACGCCTACAACCTGCGTTAAAAAAAAAGTGTAGTTTTCTGTGAGGAATACTTAGAAAGCGATTTCAAGACTTGAAGTGGCCAAAGTCTTTGCCTAAAAGTTTCCAGCCTATTAGGATCATCTTCAGACTTTCAGGCGAAAATAATGAATTTATCCACTCATTAATAAATCTTGTAAATCTTATTGGATCTGGCGCCTCAGAATACTGCACTTCTACAATAATAAGGATTATTTATTGTACCTAGGGTCAGTACGCCTACTTTTTGTCTCTATGTACATGTAGACTATTTTTAAACACTACTTAGGAAAACCAGTATACCAGTGAACTCTTTATGAGAACATAATTATGGTCTGCTAGATCAATCCAAGTTGTAGGTAACAAAAAAAATATAAAATCAATCAAATTGTCATTTTGAACTTTTTACAGAAATCTGGTTGTAGCCTTGAGGTCTACTTCAAAGTACTCTTCAAGTGAAATTCAAAATTTAGGTACCATTTTCCTTTTTATGTATGTTTACTTCCAAAGCACTCCCAAGGAAATCCCAGTCCACGCACTCTACAAGTGCCTTTATACCATTAATTGATTGGACTAAATCTTCAGACGAACAATATTTCTTCTTTTCGTTTATATAAATATTCGTTTCTTAAATTATTACATTGTTTTCAAGATATTTTAGTCTATTGTCTCACTTTTCATCATCTTTTTTTTTTTTTTTTTTATTAAATTCTTAATGTATTTCTTAAACAATGTATGTGAAGTAACAGTTAATTAGTGGGTAGTAAATAAAAAACGCTGCAAATTATTTCACAATGGTTCATTATTTCCAACAATTATACATCTAAAATAACATTTCTTTCCTAGTTACAAACAAAAATAAATAAAAGGAGATTCCAATTATTGGACTAAACATTTTTTTTTTCATTTGTAATATGCTAAAAAATATATCATTACTTCAGTAACACATTAAAAATTTAAAAACCAAACAAAGGATATAACATTTGGAGTAGAATATATAAAAAAAACTAAAGATTGTATCTTTGCTCCAAATTGTCCGATTTTAACTTCGTTTTTTTTGTTTTTTAGGAAATTCCGTAAACTTTTAAAATAACATCCCCAAAAAAGTGTATACTTTTTGAGTCATTCGGAATTAAATTTTTCAATCCCTCGTAAATTTTTTCCAGCTTCTTTTCGTTGAAGTATGTTATATAGATAAATTTAAAGGGCGTCAAGAAAATGACTTTAGCGAAGTTTCATCGAAATCGGTGCATTCGTTTAGGAGCTACAGTCTTTAGCAACTCAGGTTTTTCGGCCGCCATTTTGAAAGTAAAAGACGGATAGTCGATGAAGGAGGATCATCCTCGTGTGACCTCTGATTTTATATCCAAATTAGAAAAAAATCGGTCCAGTAGTTTCGGAGAAAATGCGCGGACGGCGGACGGCGGACGGACAGAAAAATTTTTATTCGTTTTTGGAATTCTACGCATCCTGAAACGTGAAATCTCGACTTTTGAGGGAGGGATACATTTTTGAATTTTTTGGTCGATCACAATAATAAACCAAAATATATTAAACTTGAAATGAGAAACAATGTATTTTCCAAATTTAAAGTACAAGAAAATATGTCGAAATCTCTTTAACATTACATCATATGCTCGAACAATGGATAGGCTATGCTTAAACGAATTACTTCCGCATCACAGAAGTTTAAATATAAATAGGTTCAACTCTATGTAGTTTGTAGTCATCCACTGTTTGAGTCAAAACACATCCACAATTTCAGTTCTCAACAATGTTCCCTTTAAAATTCGTATTGGCATCCGTTCTTCTGGCTACACATTGTGTAAGTATTAAATTCGATGAGCTCAACTTCAATCATTCAATATTTTATAAATTTGCATCATAATTTTTTCAATTAAAATTCACTTATGTTATAAAAAAAATCTGGTGTGTCCACTCACACGACTTTCCTACCTATTTTAGAAAAGTTTTTATATCTTTACATATGTTCATGAAGAAACAAAAAAGAATTGAACTACATTTATTTTCCTGAAAAATAGTCAAATAAAAGATTTGGGTACAACTTATTAGATAAACTAAGGCAATTAAAGGCTTAAGGTAGATCAGTGTAAAAATTTCAATACTTACTAATATTGCGGATCAAAAACTTTTTGGTATATCATAGTATTGTCAAACAATAATTTATGTTAAAAGTAGAGGAAATAGTGTAGATTGTGTGATGCGGGATACAGTAAACTCGTAATCATTCATTGGAAATTGAATAGCTGTAACTTCGTTAATAGTTGTCCAAAATGAACGATTTTTATATGGCTTTGTAGAGAATTTCATTACCTTTAACGGCGCGTTTTGTTTTGTTGGTTATTTAATTACCTTTCAAAAGTTTCATTACAAATTTTACCGTATAATATATACTAAGGGAGTTAGGGCCCATAAAATTTGTCTTTTCTTTATACATTTTTTTTCTGATTTTTTTCTTTAATTCAGTCCATATACGAAAAATGAAAGGACATTTAATGATTAGAACATTATAGGAAAGTTTAATCAAAATCGTTATAGCCGTTTTTTCTCAACACTCTATAGAAAAACGTGTTTTTCATTTATTACGCGCTAGCTATTGCGAATGGAGTACCGAAGTTCTGTCACAGGCATCGGTAGTCAAAACCCTACAAAATAAAAAAAGAAGCAACGAAATCGGTTCAGTAGTTCCCGAGAAAATCTTGGCACAGACAGACAGACCAATGGCTAAAAATATGTTTTTCGGACTCAGGCGGCTGTGAAACGTATAGATCCGTCTAAAACCGCAAGTCTGAAATTTGACCAGATTGCAATACTTTCCTTACCTAGTATAGGTAGGAAAGTAAAAAAGTATTGATTCTAAATTATTATTGCTTAAAATATAAGAACTTTAACGACAATGTTCTTCAACAAATTACTGATCAAGCATTTAATTGATTGATTGAACATAAAATAATAAGTAATTTAATAAAAAAGTATATTTAGAATCAAGTTAACATATATTTATTTTAATTTGTAAATTAAATATTTATAGGTCTTTTCGGATAAATATGAGGAGGCTAGGGTGGCATGCGAAAAAGAACATAAATTCAACGATATTAAAAATATGGGTGAGCTATTTGTTCCTTGTATTTTAAAAATTAAAATTTCTAGTTAAATTTATTTACATTTTTTTTTTGTTTCAGTATCAACTGGTAACGTACCAATGGAGGCGAAGGTAATTGTAATAATATCTTATTTAATAGGAACTTAATGAAATGAAATGAATAATTTCTTTATTAATCCTGGGACACATTAAACTACATAGTGGCCAGGACAGTGTAGTTTGACTCATTGTCACACATAAAATTTTAAAGAATGAAAGAAAAATAGCATAAATTAAAATAAATTTTTACATTACCTAAAATAACAAAACTGCTTTAACAGTAGTTAACCAGAATAAAATTAAGTAATCTAAATGAATATGATAATAGTAATAAGTAAGTGGAAACATAGTACCAAAATGAGGAAATAGGGAGAGGGAAATGTGGTTAAATAGAAGAGCTTTATACGAGGAAAGTTTTGAAGCATGGCGGATGATAGATGAGATATAGTTCCAGAAAGAGGTTAAGCTTGGTTGATGAACGATTTGTTAAACGCAAGAGTTCGGTGAGGAGAAGGGTAGAAGTCAGAATAGCCAGAACGGGTGGGACAGGCTTTTATGAATGATTTGAATTGCAGGCTCTGTAGTATGTAGGATGGGCTCCGAGTTCAGATTACCCGATATAGGAAGGATACTAGGAAATACTGACTCCTATGGGATGGTTAGAGCCACTTTAGCTTGACATAATACTGGGTTATTCGCGTATCTCTGAAAACAACAATCTAACTTAGCAGTTCACGACCCGTTTAAGGCTTGCCTCATTATCGCCAGAGAGTCCACCGAACACCAGACAGTCGTAACAAAGTTGGGTAACACTAGCGATGAAACCAGGAGTTGTTTGATTTTACGTGGGAGATTGATACAGTTCGGCGAGAAATCTGAGAGATATGTTGTTTTCAAGAGAGGGTTTCGGGTGACTCCATGTCCACGGAATCGAAGGCTTTGGAGAAGTCTACAACTCTGGATATAATTGCACAATTTTAAAAGACATTACTTTTTTTTAATAATTTTTAAATTACCCTCAAGATATAACAAAACTGAATCTGTGATTCTTCCAGAGAAAACAATCAATTACTTTGAGAGTTTTTAATAAATAAATATTTTTTTTATTTAGAAATAAAAGCCTTCATTTGGTTTATTCTACTTGTATTCCTGTTTTCCCATTTCCATTTTTTCTTCCTTTAACCCAATCTTTAAATGAAATTGAATTGAACTTAAATTATCTAAATTTATATATTTTTTTAAATACTTTTATTTTT